AATACATATATCCACTCGGCTGGCCTTCGTAATCTTCATCATCGACATTCTCCTCTTCGCCTGATATTCTATAAGCTCCGTTTTCTTTTTGCCGGAACTCTTTGGGGAGCTGAGAACCTGGAAAATATAAAGACACAATGTTTGATTAATTGTAGCAATTATTTATGATGCAAAACAAAAACAAAAAAACGATTTATTTTTAATTTGTTTAATACACTCTTAAAAATAAATGTTTCAATATGGGTTTTCGCAGCACAGAGGAAACATTTTTTCAATGAACAGTTCTTAAAAGAACCTTTTTTTCTTAGTGTGAGGAGCATTTTAAAAATCTAAAGAACCTTCTTCCGCTATAAAGAACCTTTTGTCGTAAAAGGTTCTTCGTGGAACCACACATGCCAATAACAAACCTTTATTTTCATTAGCATGTACTATAATTAATATAGCCTACTATACTAAAACATTTTAGTAGATGCTTTTTTAATTAACAGAGTGAAAATGTGGTGAACAGCCTTTACCATCATGCAAATGGGATCTATTTATTAATGCACTAAATAAAGCGCAGCCCCTTTACTTTTGATCATATTAAGAAAGCTCAGCATTTTCTCAATATTTTTGCCCACAACGTCCTGTAAAACATACACACACATGCCTGATATATTTAAATCTTCTCTTTCTATTTTTCTCTATAGCCTCTAAACCTATAGGAACGGGTCTGTCCTGTGTCCAGAGTCACCTTTCACTTCCACCTATCCCAGAGTTCATAGCAGTTGGGACATTCCGGGAAGCGAGGGAGGGGGGGCTGGGGGTTCAGGCACTGGTGGTGAAGATAAGGGCCAGTCTAAAGGATCAGACCCCCCAGAGAAAGAGATAACAGCCAGACAGTCACAGCAACGACCTGCCACATAATACACAAGCCCTTCCACCTCTTCTCCCTTTCCCTTCCAAATCTCCCCCCATCTAGGACCCTCTCGACCTCCTGTCATCACCAGCCTTTATGTTCCTGCTGGAGAAAGCCCTCGACTGGTGTACGGTTATCGTCAGCTCTGTCGGATTCTCGGAAGGCCAAGTTCACCTTTAGCGATGAGGAGATGATAAGCTTTGATAGTGGCATATGCGAATCGATCAGCTCCCACTGTTGGTGCGTTCGCATGTCTTTTCTGACCACGCCACAGACCGCAGAGAGAAAACGAATAACCTAACAGCCATCTCTCTGCAGTGTGGAGGGATATTTTTCAATGTTAAAACAAGACAAATGTTCAAGTCTGAGACAGCTTTGACACATAAATGTGACAGTCTCCTGAGCTATGAACAAGTAACTTCTGAACAATACAATTTTCATGGGTGTAAAACATGGAAACAGTCTTATCTCTCTCTCTCTCTCGCTCTCTCTCTGTGTGTGTGTGTTGAAGCAGCCTCAACAATCATGTTTTTTCAGCTTGTTCACCTCTGACCTTGTTTCCTAATGGCCGTGTCTGTGTCTATGAATGAGTGTGTTTTCAGACATACCTCCATGTGTAACATGTAATCTAGCGGAGGCAGACACCTCTCCGAAGGCATTCCTGGCGGTGCATGTGTACACACCTGCATCGTTCGGCCCAACTCCTTGAATCTGGAGCCAGCCGGTCAATTCAAACTGCCGCGGCTGGAAACAGTCTTATCTCTCTCTCTCTCTCGCTCTCTCTCTGTGTGTGTGTTGAAGCAGCCTCAACAATCATGTTTTTTCAGCTTGTTCACCTCTGACCTTGTTTCCTAATGGCCGTGTCTGTGTCTATGAATGAGTGTGTTTTCAGACATACCTCCATGTGTAACCTGTAATCTAGCGGAGGCAGACACCTCTCCGAAGGCATTCCTGGCGGTGCATGTGTACACACCTGCATCGTTCGGCCCAACTCCTTGAATCTGGAGCCAGCCGGTCAATTCAAACTGCCGCGGACCCCCGCGAGCCTGTAATTACAGAAACACACCATTGCACATTTAACAAAACCAGAACTGTTTCTGAGAATGTGACTAGAATGTAAACCTGCTGGTTGAGAGGTCATTTATTTGTTTACACTCTTAAAAATAAAGGTTATTTACTGACAACTATAGTTCCATGAAGAACCTTTCCATTCCACAAAAGCTTCTTAATAAGATTATTGAAAAATTATTTACTAAGAAAAAAATGGTGTTTCTATTGTATCATACAAAAAAACCCAACCTTTATTTTTTAAGTTTAACTGTGTTTGACTATCATTATGTACAGACTGGTGCCAGTTTGAATGGTGCTTTCCTGTGTATTTGTTAGAATGTCACGGGGGTTGGTTACTACATTTTTTTGTCCAATTTTATTGTCCACCAGGTACAGATTATTTATTAATGTGCACATACCTGTACAGCTGTGCTTGAATCATCAGCAGGAAAAGAAATAACGTCTCCTTCTTTACTCCACTGGATGGAGGCCAATGGATACGATGACACCTCACAGGAAAAGATAACATCACTTCCTTTGGTTGTGACGATGTCACGGGGAGCATAAGTGATAACTGGTTCTGTAAAGTTTGCAGAAGATAGAAAACTTTGAGCTTTAGAGTAACTGATTATAAAAATAAAACATCTTTTAAGAAAAAAAAAACATCCTGAAGCAAATCTTTGCTACTGGATGCTTTTTTCACACCAGCTTCTGTATTTACTGTAGCCATTTGTGCTGTGTTTTGATAAGCTTGGTTAATTATTTTAAGGTGTGAGATTGGACACTTATGAACTGCTAATCTTAAACATGACGGTAAGGTAAATAAACTTAACGGCTGACTTATTATTCCCACAGCTGAACAAATGGGTTTTCATTTGGCCTTTTCCATGACAAAACTTTTAAATGTGGTGATCATGTTGGCACTCAGACTCTATCCATGACAATGGTTCCTCCTGAGATGACATTTACATCTATATATACATTTACATTTACATTAGCAGATGCATTCATACCAAACTGATGTGGCCATTACTTTAGCTGAGGTCGCTGAGCAAACACGCACTAGTACAGTACTAAAATTAAATATCAAATACCAGTAAGAAAGCATTTTTAATAACTGAAGGCCTTTAGAAGGGTAAATCTCTGTCAGGACATGTCGTAGGCATATTGTCATCACCAAAAGCAAAAGAAAAATAATCATATTTTAATGATTTTAGAAAGAATCATATTTTGTTGAAATAAAAATAAGCTTATTTTAGGATGATTGCAATTGCGACTTGTGAATTAAGCACCCCACCCCAATTCATCAATTTAATCAATTTTCAAGAAATTTTAAATATATAAACTGTAAAATGTCATTTTAAAATAAATAATATAAATGTAATAATTGATGAGTGTTTATGCCTCATTGTAGTATTTGTTGTGCTGCCTTTAATCCATGCAAATTTTTATACTATCTGTAATCAATTCAAATGCACTTTTAAAAGTTGCAGTAATGAAAATCGCAATTGAGGATAACAAGAATTACAATTTATCTATATATGTGTATAGAGTATATCTATATATATTTAGAGATACTCACTTGACTTGCAGGGTCCATGGTGCACCATTGTCAGCATCTGACCTTTGCCTTGCTTGTGTTGGGCCGCCTGAAACTGGCATATATTTTTATATGTCTTTCCATCAGAAGCACAGAGTGCTTCCTGCTTACTGCACACACAGATGGCTCTGGGTTCACCTGTGGGGTTTCTGCGTGGGGCTCTGCAGCGCAGACCTTCAGCACAGCGCCCGTAAAAAGTAGACCCGGATCGGGGCTCCGGGTCACACAGTTGCCCCTCATCGTTTCCACATTCCCAGCAACACCCGCACTGGTCACGAACCAGCCTGGCAGGACAACCCTGCAGCTGCCTAACATCTGGACAGCGCTCAGGGTGGCACTTTTTAGGGCATTCCTCGCCTGGTCGAATGCTCTTCTGCCAGTCAAAGCGACTGAGGTGCTCCAGATGGAAGGACTCAGATACTGAAACTAGCATCAGCACCAGTAAAATGAGTAAATAAGCCATTGTCTGTCAGGTTAAACTGGTTGAAGTCAGCAAAAACAGTCAATGGATGGAAAAAGTCCTTGTCTCTGATAGCAGAAGTAGCTTTTATGTTGATGTAGCAGGCCAATAAAAAGCAATCTTGAAGGGCAGTCTCTAGGCCTGAAAATCCCAAAATGAAATGTGTCTGGAATTCCTGTGATCATCGGCAAAGCCTTTTCTCCCTGCTCAGTCCTTGAAGTATCCTTATGAACTGAACTGTGTTGCAGTGTCACAAAAGTGCAACAGGCTAAATGAGCAAGAAGGTGGGAAAGAAAACACAGAGGCAGCTCTAACTTTGGTGACCCCCTCTTAAACTGCAGGGTGCCTCCCCCCTTTTGCTCAACAAAAGTGTAAAAAGGTGTGAGCTGGGAGATGAGCAACAACCAATCAAAACACTCAATCCTGATTTAGGGTGGGGGGTGAAACCTGAGTTTGAAATCATGGGTTTTAAACCAAACTGGACACAGAAATGGTCATAAATTAACCCTCACAAACTTGGTCTCAATGATTTTCATCACCCTCCCCAAGGTTGTTTTAAGTTAAGTGATAATAAAACATCAATTTATAAAAATGTTTAAAACAATAATGATTTAAATATAGTGAATATAGTTGTGTAACTCAGAGCTTATAGCTCACTGGCAGAATCAAAGCGTTCCCATTCACTTAGAAACATTTTTTAGCCAATAACAAGAGCCGTAAATATCATGTGACTGATCACGGTTATCACGGTGCGTTTTACAGATCTAACTACAAGTGACTGAGTGGAACTTTGTTGATAAAACACAAAGAGATATGAAAACAGAAAGAAAGAAAGAGTCTGACTTTTTGTGTGTTGTTTAATCACAAATTTGACATTTTAGTTGTTTAGTTGCAGTTGTTGATTCCAGACATGTTGAAGAAGTTCAGTAAGGTATTGCGTGTTTATTTAGACACGTTTCTGCAGTCATTCAGTCTAGGTTATTAAGTTATTTTTATTTTTAGTAGTTATTTATTCATATCCTTTGTTGCTCAAATGCTTTCAAGCAGCTATTTGTTATTTTGACCGTGTCGATGTGAAATTGGTCTAGATTAAAATGGTTTGGACCCTGTTTACACCTGAATTTAGTGTAGAATTTGTGCTTGAAACTTTTTTTCCATAGTGACACCATGAAATTACTAGTTTTCTTAATTCTATTTCATATATGCTAAAAACAGTAAGATATACTACTACTGTGAATACTCTGAATCTAGAGAGCATATATATATATATATATATATATATATATATATATGTATGTGTGTGTTTGTATATATATATGCATTTTAGTAGTTATTTATTCATATCCTTTGTTGCTCAAATGCTTTCAAGCAGCTATTTGTTATTTTGACCGTGTCGATGTGAAATTGGTCTAGATTAAAATGGTTTGGACCCTGTTTACACCTGAATTTAGTGTAGAATTTGTGCTTGAAACTTTTTTTCCATAGTGACACCATGAAATTACTAGTTTTCTTAATTCTATTTCATATATGCTAAAAACAGTAAGATATACTACTACTGTGAATACTCTGAATCTAGAGAGCATATATATATATATATATATATATATATATATATATATGTGTGTGTGTGTGTGTGCATATGTATGTATGCGTATATATAACCTATGTACATGTATATATATACAGTATATATGGCTTACACTTGCAGAAGTGTAAGTGTGAAGACCGATTAAAAGCCACAAAACTCTCATTTTGACTACGAGGGGACTAAAAAACATTGAGCAGATTTGTTGTTGCAGGCCTACATGAAAAACAAAACGCTCCTCCATTACAAACGAGCTTATCTGTGCTGTGAAAGAAAGTGAGAAGACATTTAGCTCCTCTCTCTCTCAATAATGTCCTCAGTTTATCTGCTGCTCTCACCTCGCCACGTTAAGCCAAAACAAACAATTAGGCGGCCATTAAGGGCCCATTGTTAATTGTAAATAATCCATCATTAATATTGATTAGCTGTGGCGAGCAGATCTCATTCACTTCTTGCCTCCTGATGAGTGGGTCTTAGTGGGCTAATTGCTTCAGGCTATTTCTATTCAACACCGGAGAGGCTGCAGTGAGCTCTGGAGTGTGCCTTGAGTTTTACTATTAACTAACACAGATTGAACGTCCATGATAAGATCAGACCCCACTCCAATTAACTTTCTTTGAGAATCTTTCCCAAGGTTACAATGTGCTTTTCCTATAACTGTCCGAATATCATATGATATGATCAGTATCATATATGAGTCAAATTACTCACACAACTCAAGTCTTCTGAATGTAGAGTACAGGACATATAGACCATTTTTATCATGGTAGTTCTTGGTGGGGTTTTTTTTTTTTTTTTTTGGACCTCGACAGCTTCTGGTCAGTGTGTGATGACATTTTCATTGTTTGATTAACCTTTAAGGACTTTAACTGAAAAATACATGCTGTCACTTTAACTAGACAGCCTTCAAAGACTGTATCTACAGTATTTCTGTAAATGCACTGTTAGAAAGTAATACTCAGCCTGAGACTGTAACGTCACAAGTTTTTGCTTGAAGGCAAACCAGCTGTCTGTAATTGTGTAAACTCTTGTTGAGATGACAGCAACAAAAGATGTCACATTTTCTCCCCATGTGAGTTAGGGGAGCATGATGCCTGTTGAAGTTTTAAATATGTTGTCAAAGTCAAAAATGTAAGCAAAAAATCTAAAAATTAGCTTAATTTCTTTACTAATATTTCTTAAATATATATTTATATAAAATATATGGCACTTTCTCAAAAAATAAATATATGTATTTGTCATAAATTTTATATACCAATTACAAATATTTCAGAAATTAAGAAGGGACGTTAAGATTTTTGCATTATTTTTCATGACAAGACATTTTGTGTGTGTGGGTGTGTGTGCAGTTTCCATTATGTGTCCATATGTTAATTATTATTATCCTCATTAATGTAATACAGCATTTCTCTGTATTATTGTATTTTTTTAAATGATTTAAAATTATTTTGTTTAAACATTTTAAAAAATTATTTAAAAAAACAAGCTGATTAAAATCAACATATTAAACATATTAAATTCAAGGCACTAGAAGAAATATGAATACTTCACATCAGAATTTATTGTGCTTTCATGGAAATATTATAGTGGATAAAATAAAATAATGCAAAATATAGTTTCTTATGGTGTTCTGTATTTTGGATAGAAATGTGATCCTTTTTTGCACATGTTAGTGACTGAAGAAACTTTTGGAGGATATACTAGCAATGTAAATGTAGAATAGCTATTCATAACGCAATCAATTAAAGTTATTACGAATAAAACAGAATTTATCAACAATGCAGAATTATCAGATTGCAAATCTTACCATTCAAATATTCTTTAGAAAACCTTTAATCGCAATTAGAGACCCATTAAAAGAAAACAAAACTTGATATGTCAAATTCATGTCAATTTCTGTTGTCTGTTTTGCAGTGTAATGGGTACTTTGCTCTTGTGATTTATTTTCAAGTGGACAGGCATGTCAGTTTCATGAAAATCAATTGCCTTATCCTGTCTGTCTGTCTCTCTCATGTGTCTCACACTCACACACACGCTGTCTCACAGTCTTCATGGAGCCTCCGCAAATTCAATTCCTTTAAAACAATGATGTCACCAAGCGAAGGTCACATGTGGAGCAAATGCTTGTAAATCCAAATGGCTGTGTAGTGTTTTAAACAGGGCCAGCAATGGAATTACAAGAGGTGAAGCAGGGGAGAGGTTCAGCTCACCTCGGGGATTAGATATATTGGTTTGTGATAACACTGAAGCCATGAATCAGCGCAGTGTGAGCCCTTATCATTGGCCTTTAAATGATGATCAATAGGATCTTTATTTCATTCATTTACAAATGTAATTGCTGCAGTTTGATAAGTTCCTCTACAAAACTGTGAAATCACCTCATAGAAGAAGTAGTAAGGGATTGTTATATATTTCATATTAAATAATTGTGTATTTCTTATTGTTTCTTGAGAATATATGAATGTAGATAGATAGATAGATAGATAGATAGATAGATAGATAGATAGATAGATAGATAGATAGATAGATAGACAGACAGACAGACAGACAGACAGATAGATAGACATTCATTCATTCATTGAGGAATCATGGTTGTAAGCCTCAACTTAGAGTTGAATTCAGAATATCTTTTAAAACGAATTCAATTTCTGAATTTTATAATGTATGTAATCTGAGAAAAACCTGAGAAATTGCTAGTAAATTTCACAAACTGACACACAGAAGCAGTAACACATTGAATTAAACATGACATTTTGAACTAGAAAACGTAAATAGTATTTTGTTGTAAAACATATTCCAATAATAGCTATTTGTTTTAATTATATTTTAGAGCTGCTTTACAGTAGAATCTCAACTGTCTGTGGCTATTTTTCTATTTACCACTGTAAAAATAATACAATATAAAGTGCTAAGTAATAACTTTTTTACTGTGTATATACCAGGCTACTTCTGTTGTACTGTAAGGTAGTTGTTTTTGTCATGGTGCTCTAGCAAAGCACATATATTCATTACACTCTTTTGTTTTGGTCTCCCATATAAAGATGCATTTCCTTGCGAAAGCAATATAAATCCCATTCAGCACATCACCTGCTGTGAAATCACAGTACAATGTTTTGTCGGGCTGTGTATGCATGCTGTGTCGAAGGTATTGAGCTTAGCGTAATGGATTTTGGAAAATATTTCCGTTGACATTTTTGAATTGTATCTTAATTTGCTTGCATCGTGTAGCCTGTTAGCGAAGGAAACAAGAATATTAAACAAAACAAGTCAAATACATCAGTGCAATCATTTTCTCCAGCCCATCTTTGCAAAATACACCAATCCACATTTATGGCACTTTCATTATCCATTATTTCCCATATTATGAAACACCTTATAACCTGTCAAGTCTTTTATCTCAGCAAGCAGGTACTTAACTTCAGCATTATTAACACGATTCAACTGCCGTAGACTCACCACAGGATGCTTTTCCCGCAAAGTGCACCCCTTGATTTCTTTTTAAATTGTTTTAAAGTGCCTTTATTTTCCTTCGACAGACATTAGCCTCACAGTGTTAGCCACTACTTGAGGACTTGGCACGCTAGGACATTGAAATGGTCAATCAGAGCAAGTAATATTGGTCAGGGTGGTTGATTCAGTCTCTTTGCAATCTTGCAGTCCGCATGAATTGCTGAGACGGACCATTTAAGCAGCATAATTCCATCATTTTAATAGTTTTAATGCTCAACAGGTACACAGATCTGGGCAGCGTGTGCTGTGTTTCCCAAAAGTCACACCCTGTGCCAAGCTGGACTTGAATAAGTGAAGTGGTTTGGTGTGCACTCATTCATCCGAAGTGCTCTCTCATAAGTCTTTCTCCAGAGACGGATTTGAGCGGGAAAAGGCGGCCCTGTTCCTGCATTAATGAGAAGCTCTTTGCTGAATCCCAACTGGACTCTGTAAAGAATGGCTGTACGACTCAACGTTACATTGTTTTTACAGCCATTTATCACATCAACCACAACTGACGTGTGTGTGTGTGTGTGTGTGTGTGTGTGTGTGTGTGTGTGTGTGTGTGCGCACTTTTTGCACATAAATATTTCTGTGTATACATTTTTTGATATACCACCAGACGTGTGTGTGTGTGTGTGTGTGTGTGTGTGTGTGTGTGTGTGTGTGTGTGTGCACATTTTGATCATAAATACTTCTCAGTATGCACATTTTGATATTCAAAGACGTTTTTTTTTTGTTTCACAAAAAGCTGAGCATTTGAACATTTAGGCTATCAACATTTTTCTTCAGTGACGTAAATATTCAATTTTCCCACTCCTCTATGACAATGAAAAGAACATCTTAGATGCTTAGAAAATGCATTTCATGGCTTTGGTGCATTGAGGAAAGTGTGTTTAAAGAGACTTCATTTTCTAAAAGGACCTAATGTGGCCACCATACTCATAATATTCTCATAAATGGACGTTTTATATAGACAGGAAAACATAGCCTCATATTAAGGCCTTTAAATACAGAGCATGTCTAATGAAAGCCTTAAAGTTGGCTGAAAAAATGACCGTTTTTAAAGGTATTTAAAGGTATACCGTTTTTTAAAAGTGAGTCATTTTGTCCCACCACATAATGCTATTAAACACAACATCTTAAAACATCAACTTTATATATATATATATATATATATATATATATATAATAATTAAATAAATACATATACGAATATATATTATATATATATTATAATATTATATAGATATACTTATATAATGTACATATATAATGAATATTAGTACTGGGCAGCGATTAATCGCATCCAAAATAAAAGTTGTATTTTACCGAGGAATTTACCAATTAATTCTTTAAAAATCCTACAATGTGATTTTCTGGATTTTTTTTTCTCATTTTGTCTCTCATAGTTGAGGTATACCTATGATGAAAATTACAGGCCTCTCTCATCTTTTTAAGTGGGAGAACTTGCACAATTGGTGGCTGACTAAATACTTTTTTGCCCCACTGTATATATATAAGCATATGCATATATACAGTATGTATATATATATATATATATATATATATATATATATATATACACACACCCGGCGAACAGAGAGGACGTACTGACGCAGCCCAGCACCAGAACTTCTACTGTTACACAAACTTTGCTTTCGCCCCCTCTCAATCAAACCCCTTTACCAGCATCTGCCATCTGTTCCAGGAGAATCTGTTTCACTCCCCGAGCCAAGCAAGGCCGTTATTGGTCCTAATGGCGCTATCAGCTAAGCCGCTAAACCCAATTACTGCTTAAAAAGGGAGGCCACCCCAGCTAATCATGGCCGCCTAACCTGATTTGGCTGTGATGAAGAGATGGGATAAAGATCAGTTAATGCAGGGAGAATGATCTCACAAATACAAAAAACTCAATTCATTTCTCTGGGAGGCCAATCTGTCCGATTCAGCGCTAATGGAGTGGAGTTTCATTAGACTCGAGGCATGCTGCTCGCTCTTATCAGCCTAAAGACAAATAATATCAAAAAAGGGTGATATTCATTAGGGACATGTGTCTCAAAAAGCTTAGATTTGTGAGGGATTCAAGCAAAACGTGTTAATATACTGATCGGGACATAATTGTGGTGAGACATGACCAACACGGAAGTTTCTAAAGTGCACTAGCGTCTAAAGGGAATATACATAGGGATTTGAACAAAGCTTATGTTTTATGTTTTAGCATGTATTTATGTGTCATTTGTACAGACATGAATGATACCTTTAAGTAGCTTGTTCAAAAGAGTGTTTTTGAAGTGACTTTTCACATCTTAAAAAAACAGGATGGATGCGAAAATCATTGAGATTTGGGCCAGGAAGTAACCACCTGCCTAGCAACCTCACAGCAACACACTCAGAAGAACAACAACATAACAACATCTATACTCTTATATTTACTATGCTTTTAGTAATAATTAATTTACTTTTACTTGCTACAACAAAATCTGTGTTAACACTTATCATGATTTGTGTTTTTTTCTGTTAATTAAAGCAAGGGGTTTAGATGCCATGGACCACCAGATATGATCCATATATTAAATTGTTGTGTAAAAAATGTATATTATAAATATGAAATATTTGGAAAATATTTAGTTTTTTACTGGGATACAATATTATGCTTTTTTTCTACTCAGTATAGTACTGTCCTGTCTATCTATCTATCTATCCATTTAATTTTTTTTGTAAATTTAATTGGTAAATTTATTAACCAGGCCTGCAATATAACCGAGTGAAAAATGTAAGGGGGTCTGAATACTTTCTGTACCCTGTGTGTGTATATATATATATCTGTATGTAACTTTTTATAAAAAAAAAAAACTTTACGTAAACTTTTCCACAGACCCCAGTTGTAAACCATCTATAAAAAAAACAACCAGGGTTGTCTTTTTTTTTCTTCTAAGTTTTCTAACTATACTTCTAAATGTTCTAAAACTAGTTTCTAGCCAAACAGAAGCGTTCTTGTTTTGCCTTATGGAGAACATCTTCAAGCGTCAGCTTTTTTTTTTTTTTTCCCAGTGTGGTTTTAGGCCTTAAAGTCAAGTCCTCTTAACAGTTAACTACACCATCTGTTAATAGGTCTGGTCCGACAGTGCGTGTTCACCTGAGGCTACAAATTCATTTATTGGTGCGCTCTCATCTGGAGCCCTGCAGTAAGCGTGAGTTGTGCATGAGGCCGTGGGGCTGAAGGGCAGGTCTGCCCTGACAGAGCCGGGCCAGGCCTTACAGACGGACATTAGGCCAAACCAGAGTTAAAATCCTATTAGTTTCAGCTGGGAATCAGATTATCGTCGTCGAGAATCACTCGTCTGGCAACTAGGGTCTAATTTATGCCAATCAACAGCAATTATTGAGGGGAAGGGGAGCATCTATTAGGGAAGCTCATCCACTTAGGCTAATGAATGGGGCAGATTCAGTCTCTTACTGAAGAGACGTATTTGGGAACTGCAGCTGGGGGCGAATGCACTGCATTCAAGTGGCACCACTGTTATCTGACTCTGTTTGTGTGTGTGGACTACATTCAGTCGTATAGTGAGTTTTATTATAGATGGCAGCTGTATAGATCAGACGTTTCAGTTTTTAGGATTGTGTAGTATATTACCTTTTGCAGTATACTTGGATCAATATATGACAAACTGCGTTATTTGCTTTGTCAATATACTGTCAAACTGTTCATGAGAGAGATGTAGTTTGCTATAGTTGATGTACCCTGCTCTGACTTATTACCTAGAAGGAGAAAAAGTTTATTAATTAATTTAATGGTTTTAATTTGTTAAATAATATGGAGGGCTAACAAAAAGTCATTGATAGGACATGACAGCCGAAGTTCTGTTTCGGGAGTTTGAGTTGGAAAGAGCATTGGGAAATAAGAAGGATTGTGGGGCCCTCTATTGTTTGAAACCCGCAAGTGTTTCTTGCACAAAATTAATTACTTACAAAAATAATAGCCTATAGAATTTTATACACAATGCAAAGGTGTTTTTCCCCCACAGGAAGAAATATATTTTTTTAGCAGAATTACAAGTCCATATCTCACATTTTTTACTTTTCTGACAGGACTGCAATAAAAAATAAAAAGTGAAATTTGTGCGATAAACCCAGAATTGTGAGATAATAAGTCGCACCCTTTTATTTGTATTATTATTTTTTTATCCCATGTTTGGCAGCTGTGCTGACTTAATGTTAGGCCAGAGGTCAGTGAATGAGGTTTAGTTCTCTCTGTTTGCTTACTTCAAATGATTCAATTTGTTTGGTTGTAGGGCAGGAGGAATAACTTGAATTCCTGTCTGCATGAGTTGACCGAGGATTTAGTTTGAAAATAAATGTTTGTATTATATATTTGAAATGTTTATTTTTGTTATAAATAATTGTTTGTAACTACCTTAAAATAAACATAAAATTGAAGAATTACAGTTAGTGTATTAAGTCATTAAATTATTATAAACTTAAAC